CACTAGCTTTAAGATCATCTCTATGTTTTATTTCCAACGCCTGCCGTTCCCAATGATCACTTGGGAAGTACACCCTTCTACACCCCTGGCCTTTACAAGGTGGTGAACAGTCCCCTTCCAGTCCCTCCCCATGTCCTACCCTGGGGGCAGCTGGAGGCATCACTTTCAGGTAGTGAACGGATGGTTACAGTTTAAACACAGAAAAGAACAGAGGGAGGCGTTTGGTGTCACTGGAAAAGAACGTGGCCAACACAAAGAACAGGTAATAGAAGGCTGGGGCACCAGGCCATGAAGAGGCTGTGGTTTTGCCCCGAGGCAGAGGCTCAAAGCTGTAGTGCAGTGGAAAGTCTCAGTATTAAACAGTGAGTCTTAAAAGGAAAAGAGAGAACAGGGGTTGGAAGGGAAGGTCCAAGGAGAGACTCGATAGGTGGTGGCAATGCACTAAATGTGGTCGTCGTCAGGGTGGCAGCTCCAGCCATTTCCCCTGCATGGCATTGATCTTGCCTGTGAAGGGAGGGCTGGGAACAAGATCAAGATTTTCAGTTCAGCGTGTCTTCCAGCTCCTCCTTCTGCTTTTTCCTCTCTGCAAGCCACTGCTGGATCTTCTCTTTTAGCTCTGTGTTTGGTCTGATCTGGTCCATAGTGAGTGGGCTCCGATTGAAAGGATCCGTCTGATCACTGAAAGACAAAGCATTGACGAGATTATTTGGACACTCCTGGCGTTAAAGATAAAAAAAGAGGGAGACAGGCCAGGAAAAGTCACTGGATAAGTGAAATAGATCCCCAGAAGTATCAAGCAGGAGGGCTGTGCTGCGCACCTGAGGAGGTGTCGGGCTATAGTCGAGCGGTCCACGGTGACGCGGGAGGAAGGCAGGATCACGGGGTCTGACATCAGCGTGCTCATGATGGGATCCAGGAATTCATCGCAGGCGTCTGCGTACGTCTCCTCTTCCTGCTGCTGCCTGTCTGCAAGAGACTGGGGAGCACAGGGGCTTTGAGGGACTCGGCCTCCCCGTTCTTTAAAAACCAGGGAGCACTCACAAGTCCGTATGGGCAGCATGCCCTCCCAGCTGCCCCACCCGAACAAAGCCCCACTCCCAGAAATCCAGCTCCACAGCAACACACAGAGGGAAAAGGACACAGGGAACCAGCTCCATCTTTTTTTGTACATTAAATTCCCTCCAGTGCTCACCTTGATCCTCTCAGCCAGGTTACTGAAAGACACTATCATGTTGCCAGGCTTGTTGATTTTCTTCAGAACCCGCACGGTCTGGGCAAAGAGTGTCGGTGAGTAGGAGCGGCCGTCCTTGGGGACTGTGGCACAGAAGTTTTCTTCATCCCTGCACCACAGGTTACAAGACAGCAAAGGTTTAAGAATCTATATTTACAGGGCTGAAAAACAGTCTCTACAGCAGCTGTTTTCCCACAGCAAAAAACTTAAAGCTAGAGGAAAGCTAGAGTGTAACTAAGCATTTCTCCCACAATACCCCCAGGATGGCTACTGCCACCCCACAGGCTCACACCCTGTCATCACCTACCCAAGGTTTAGGTAGATTGTGCAGATATCAGACACGAGCTGCTGTGGCTTGAAGTCGAACTCACTGAAATCCTTCACTTTCAAAGCTCCCATTTTAGGCCCAACCAGGTGTTGCAGAAAGTAGTTGAGCATGGAGATGATGCGCTCAGCAAGGAAAGGATGCACGAACAGGGACTTGATTTCTGGAAAGGAAAACAACAGTTCCTTCACAGCAATCCCATCCCGCTCCGATCACTGTGAAACCAAGTTCCTGTCCACCCTTTCCTGGTCCTGGCAGGCAGGAGGGGCCACTCTTCCTACCTGAGGTCAGGAAGGCCAGAGTGCCAATGGTTTCGTTGGACATGATGTTGTGGAAGCGTGCCAGCTGCCCAAACATCTGCAGGCTGGACTCCTTCTCCCGGCGAGCCTCCGGGGACAGGCTGTCCCACTCGCCCCGGTCCTTCTCAATCTGCTGCACTTTGATCTTGCTGAGGTACTGCAAAACAGAACACCCAGGGGGCTTGGTTGGATGGCAAAGCCAAGGAGGTCCATCAACACTCAAAATCAGACAGGCAACATCCACATGACCCAGCTTAACTGCTGGCCTCAGGGCAATCAGTTCTCGGGCAGGTAAAAGCTCCCCAAAAAAGCCCTTTCTAGCAGCAACAGCAGCTCTGAAAGGAGTGAGAGACAGCCATTGCACACCAGGGACATGAGGTCACCTGGCACTTGCCTTGTAATCCCAAAGGAGAACTGCTTGGAGACAAAAGGCCTTTGTTAGGATAAAACACCTGTGGAAAGGCCAAGGGGATTTGAGAATCAAAACCCACAGTGATGGTTTAAAGCCCAAGTTCGTCCAGATTAGCAACAGGCAGATTTTCCAGCGTGCTTCCTGATGGATCTGAAAAAGCCCTTTTGCTCCTCTTGGTTCTGAGCTGCCTCTTGACCCCAAAGGAGGAAAGGGTGACCCACAGGCAGGGCCCCAGGCCCACTTTCCTCCTGCTTTCCCCCCTTCTCCCAGGGCACTGGCCACACCAGCCTGGAATTGCTTCCTGCAAATGTCTACCACATAGATTCACCAGGCAGGGCCAGGCGAGCTGACCCTGTTCTGGAGGTCAAAACCACACCCAGCCGCCTCTGGGGAGTGAGAACTTGTTTATGTGATGCTGGTGGCACAGGAGCTCAGCCCTACCTGTATGGCTTCATCCAATAGGAAAATGGCATCATTCATGAGCAGGTTAAGGAAGCGCAAGAAGAGAGGGGGGTTCATTGCCTCCAGGTTCTCTGAGGCATAATCAGCCAAAGCCTGCAAGGAGCGAGCAAACAGTGAATTTTGTGTGTCCCAGTGGCAGGACATGGACCCACGTGGTCCATACAGTGCTGCACACACAGACAGACACACACACGTGCACCTCCTCTTGCCTCACCTTTATGCTCTCCCGGTAGGAGTCGGTGCCCCACATGTACCTCAGGATGGGGTACATGGGACGGCGATAGTTAAACTTCTGTTCGAACTGGTGTGGGTCGCCTGGGCACAAGCCAAAGAGCATTACAAGTGGACATTCCCCCACAGGTGTCCACAGGGAACACAACTCTTCCCCTTCTGTGCTTACCTGTGAACTCGATGTCCACGAAGACCTTGATGAGCGCCTCGGCCAGGTGGGCAGCGTGCTGGTAGGAGCAGAACACCCGCTTGCGATGGAACACGCTTGAGACCAGCGGGTTCTGGGCCTGATCCAGGTGAGGCATCACAGCTTCCAACACCTCTGCCAGCTTGGCTCGCAGGTGAGGATTTTTCATCCTGAAATAGGAAAAAGAAAGTGAATCCAGGATGGCATGAGGGCTAGGGTGTGGAACTGAGCTCTTCAGGAATCATTCCAGGAGCTGTGCCCATCCATGCTCGAGTGCCTGCTTGCTGCAGACCATCTGTAAAGCCAGCTCTGGGTCAGCAGCTCACTCACATGCACTCAATGGCACAGTAAAATCTCAGGCAGAGGCCAGAGAGTGTGGGAACAGCCAAGCTGCTGCTCCCACCCTCCCACACAGCTTTCCCGCTCACAGCCCACGGCTGCTCATCAGCTGGAGCTCCTGGGCAAACCTCACTGACCAACCCAGCTGCTTCCCTACTGCCTAGGGTCCTGCCCTCTATTTATCCTGCCAGTCCAAGTGCTTTGCCTGCTGTCCAGCACCAAACACTGAGGTCACAGTATAACTCTGCTGCACCTGTGGGGCAGAAACCAAACCACCTGCCCCAGGTGACACCGTAGGGCACTGCCAGGAAGAACTACAGCCTCCATCTCCCAGGGACAGCAGGACAGTGAGAACTGCCTACCCAAGGGAAATCTCCAGCTGCTCCTGCTGCTGCCAGGAGCTGTGTTTACACACGTGAGTGTAAACAAATGAACAGCAGAAATGCAGAGTGTAGGGTGATATCTCGTCAGGAAGATTGACAGAACTACTCAGTTCTGTTCAGTGGACATCATAGAGACACTCCCAACAGATCAATCCCAGGAACTTCCTTTAGCAAGTACAAAATGGCTGTAGCTGATGAGGCTCCTGCATCATATTACCAAACACATATTTAAGCCCCAAATCCCATTTGCACCTTGCACGAAAGCCCATGGCCTCCAGGCAGGGCTTTGTCCCCTTTGTGCCTCCTGTGGGCAGAATTCAGCATTTCCAAAGGGATCGACCTGCTCGTGGCTGCACAAACCAAGCCTCAAAACAGCTCTGCAATTTCCACTTGCTTGTTCCCCCTGGGTGTTCTGCAGTGAGCACCCAGAGCTGCAGCGAGGGCTGTACCTACCTCTCCACATCACCCATGAAAACAGTAACAAAGTGAAGGATGTGCTCCAGGGAATCAGCCGAAGTCTCCAAGATGTCATCAGCAAAACGCCGCAGGAAAATGAAGAAGTCACCCAAATTATCAGCAAAGAACTCTGCAAAGAGAGATTGCAGGTGAGCCCTCCCCAGGCAGTTCTGCCCTTTTCCAGCCTCCCCTCTACTTT